ATTTCTTTCATGTGAAGTCATATATAGTGAACAGGAAAACAGCCACAAAATGATATCCCGGGAAGCAATGGGTTGGCCATGGAACCTGTAGTTTATTAAATGAGTCACATGTTGATTTCTTGATATTTTTTCTGTATCGTTTGATTTGAAATGCAGATCTACTCTAAACCTGAAGATCCTGTCAAATACAGCACTATAAATGATGAAACCCCTAATGTAAGTAGACCAGACAAGCAGTGATGTGATGAATTCAGACATAATTATATATCCTGTTTATTATACAATCCCTTTCTCCACAGGATCCCATCAAGGACATAACCTACTACAGTATTATTGAGGATGTTCCTCGGAGTGAAGCGATAAAGTCTCCAGCAGGTGGAGCAATATACAGCATAATATACAGCACTGTGGGTCCACACTGACAGCAACAGTGAGAACTAGAGATGCACTGATTGCAATTTTCTTGGCCGATTCCGATTTTTTGTTAGTCTGATCTGCCGATAACGATTTTTGCCGATTCCGATTTTCTTTCTAAGAACTATAATTCACAGCATATACAAACAAAATCTACTTTTCTTCAATATAATAAAGTTTTATTTTCATAAAAAAAAACACAAGTAAAAGTCAGTAATAAAATAAGAACAAATAAAAAAAATTGCAAACAACAGCACAAATAAATGCTATAGAATAAAGAGAGCTATGAAACTAACTACTTTTTATTCAGGTAAGAAATACTACAGAAATTAAAGTAATCAAATGTAAAATACCACATCCAGTGTTAGTCAAGAGCAGAAAGTGATTTTCTTTGTCTTTTGTTCATTTATTAACATGACAGACAGCAGCACGAATATTGGACTGCGGTCCCTTTAAGAGTTTATCCACTGACCCAATATACTGTTACACAACATGCGTTCTCTTTCTCAACTATTTAAAGGTCATATGATGCGATTTCAATTTTTCCTTTCTCTTTAGATTTCTCTTTGGAGTGTTACAAGCTATTGGTGCATAAAGAAGATCTGTAAAGTTGCAAAGACTAAAGTCTCAAATCCAAAGAGATATTCTTTATAAAAGTTAAGAGTCAGCCACACCTACCTAAAATGGCTCGTTCTAACACGCCCCCACATGTCTACATCACTATGTGGGAAGATTTGTATAACGCCGCCCAAATGTTCACGCAAAGAAAGAAGGCGTAACTTTTATTCTCGCTGTAGTATTGTTGTTGCCGCCATGTCATGAAGGCGCTGTGTGTTTCGTTGTGAAAGCGAAACTACTTTGTTTGGTCTTCCAAAAGAGGACGATAGTACTTCGTCATGCCTAGAGCTGATCTGTGCT